TTAAAAAATGTTTTTGGTCTGATGTAGCTAAGCCAATGTGCTGATCATCTTCACAGCTTAATCTTGAAGTTCCAAAGGTGAGGATGAGTTTTGGGGCTTGTTCTTTTGCTAATGCCGCCAACAATTATTGAATGGTCTTCCTCAACACATCAAATCAGCTGATTCTATTGAGGCTCTCAAAACACTACTTTTCTCTTTAACAATGCAGAATACACATGATACTTTTCCCCATTCTTTCATTTGCGAAGGCTTATTCCAAGGTGGAAGTTACCAAAGCCCAGCATACTAACAAGCATTGTGCCTGCGTGCACCCAGGTTTTGACATCGGTGGGTGGAGACCTGTTCTGGACACTTATACCAATAGTGAACTGTTTTTAGATTAAGTAATTTACATCAAAATTGTTCACTGCCATGTTTTTTGTTGTAAAGCACTTTGAGGCATTTTCTGCAGAATGAGCTATAAAAGAATGGAGTTTACTAATATTATTATCACTAGCTGTAAGCATTGGATCCAATGACCGTGACCTGAAGGCCACTATGAGACATATCAGATCGACATATCTTTATCATGTCAACCAAGAGTATTTTTTTATTGTTGACAGTTACAAAAACTATTAATAACTCAATACAAACAACCATAAAATGAAGGACAGGAAAGAATTAAAATTTAAGAAAAAAATAAAAACAATATTCAAAAAAGGAATTTCTGTCAATTTTTTGATTGCATTGAAACAAGGACCTCTTATGACTAACAGAGACTAGAAAAAAAGAAGTTCTCTCTCTCTCTCTTACCTGAATTGCTCGCTGGAAAAATTTTATAGCAATATCATGTTCCTTCTGTAAGCTAAAGCAATTTCCAGAGGCACACCATGTCTGCATAGTAAAAAAAATTAGAGAAACTTGAATATTGGTACAAATTACAACTATACTTTGTATATCATCCAATAAATCACTCTAATTTAAAAGTAGAGATTAGCAACAGACAGATTCTGATTGGCTATTTACCACGTAAACGTAAACAGGAAAAGAAGTTGAGAGGGACAAGAAGGCAGTGCAAAGATGAGCAAAGGTAGCAATCAAAACTGAGACTCAAACCCATGAAAGGCTTTTAGTAATAAATTCTGTGGACAAATTTGTACCATTTTTATCTTACATACATTACCCACACAATGATGGCAGAAAAAATATACAACTTACTTTTATTTCACATGATAATTCGCATGTGGCGAAGATAAGCAAAACCAGTCACTCCTCGCAAATCGTGTCTTTGATATATTGGCCAAAACATGCTAGAATGTCAACAATTTTGAAATCTTTTTTATTGCACTAAAGTAAACTTTATATAACTATACTTCATGCTATGTTGTTATTTTCCCCATTTTCAATGTTACAACAAATTTTTCAATGATCTGGTGACAGTCTCTGCCTGAGAAATATCCGAAATCATAAATTTTTAAAATTTCTCACATACTGTTTGTTCTTTAAACAGCTGTATGTTTAAACTTATGTAACTTCATAATGAAATGTTCCACTTATATGGTTCTGTTACCATTTTTAAACTTTCATCTTAGTGTTTAACCCTGTATTAATAACTAAAAATTGATTTTTTTTTTTTGTGAGGAGCGACTGGTTTGCCTTGTCTTTTCCACATATAACTTAATTCATTTTTATGTAACTTCTGTGATGAATTTGTATGTTATTTAGTTGCCACCATAAGATGTATAAGTATGAAACAGCCAAGTGGGTCTTACATCTGGACATGCTTTATCAAATTCTGTGAGTTCCTGAGCCAATGATGACAGTGCTACCTCCTTCTGTAGATGCCAGAGGGCGGTAGAGTAAAGAGCAGTTCCTTCAGTCCTATGAGGTTCTATCCGACGTACTTCTTTGAAGAGTTTTACAGCCTATAAATTATATTAACAATAGAAATATTGCATTCGTTCAAATTTAACTCTGTAGTATGGTATAATAATAGTCTGTGTTATAATGAAAACATACAGTATAGTAACATTTGTTCAGGGAAATGATAATATTGCGGTATTAGAAATGGTGAATCATGCCTGTATTAATAATGGTAATAGCCATAACTCTGATAATTTTAATAATAATAATACTTATATTTCTCAACTCATTTATACATTTTTGCAATAAGATGCTACAACTCAAATGTCCAAATTTATGTTTATCGTTTGTCTATTTTAACTATATATACATAGGGTCATATCTTTTTCTAAATATTTTTAAATAGGTTATTTTTTTGCCATATTTGTTGTTTGTATTATTTTTTTTGTATCTGTATGTATTGAAATGGTTACACCCAAACAAAATATCCATTTTTGGGACAATGAATAATCTTGAATCTTGAATCTATTAACATAATTCTACTAACATTTAAGGATAGTGCGGATAACAAAATGTTTTGATTTCAGCCGGGCGCTCGCTACGACAATTTAAGAGGAATCCAACTCCACTCCCTGTAAGTGCTAGACGTGACGCTATCTACCGATTGTCAGCGGCAGTCTGGATGGATCGTCATATACAATTGCGTCTGGCCGACAACCGTAGCGCGTACTGATTGCCTGGTTAAGATGATATACATAAACCTTACCTGCTGGTAGTCAGCGACTTCAAACCTTGCCTTGCCCACCTGCGACAACACCCATCCGGTGTTATAGTGATGTGGCATGAGATTAGTAAACTGAGTAATTGCCTTCCTACAGTCAAACTGACATAGCGAGGAGTATGCCTTACCAATGTCCCTTAGTAGGCTCATTAGTCCCTCTGGTGAAAGTATAATAAACACATTATTAATGATTTAATAAGAAGGGGTATCCATAATCATCCTAACTGGGGAAACTTGTAAGAAAAAATGTTGTCTCAAGGAATACACAGGGGACAAAAGTGTGTATGTGATAGATAATTATATCTAAGTATATTGTCCTAATAACATAGACTAATTGATCATTTTAAAATAATGTATTAATATCATATTTATGAAATGAGGAATTAAACGCCTTGAATCTTACAAATTAATCTATTGTTATAAGCCAACAACAAATGGAAAGTAATGTACTTTAATAATCATTAAATTATATAAATTAAGTTATGTTACATTATATTATTAATTTATTGATGTGAAAATTATGTGATAATTTTTTTTTATAGAAATGTATAATAATGTTTATTCATTTTTTTACACATTGAGCAGACAAAAATATAAACATTAAAAGAAGATCAATTGAAGACTTAGTTCGAGACTTGGCAGGTTTTCAAAATGCTAAGGTTGAGAAAGAGGTTGTTTTATGTCCTATACAGCAGAATTAGCACATTAGTCATTCAAACAATTCTACTTTATTAGCATTGTTGCTCATAGTCTCAATACTGTATAATCTTAACTGTCACAATATTCAAAAGCAATAGTTGATTGATTGATTAAGTGGTCTTGGGTTCAAATCCAGATAGGGACTATACATTTGTTTACAAACAATCTATCATCTATATAAAAGTAACTTTTTAGTATTAGATTTATCCTTATATTTTATTAAATAAATATTATTGTTATTACATTATTTTTATAATTTAAAATTTATAATGATCTATGCTGATAAATACATTCTTACCAGCTGATGCCTTTTGGAAATTGAGTAACCTCGCATGTTGGTTAACTGGCGTTGATTTCAAATCCGAGGGTGTGTTATCAGGCTTCTGAATGTCACTAATATCAGACGGCTGGGTTAACGTAGATGGTTTTGACGGTTTACTTTTCGTCTTTCCTTTTACATTTTTTGACATTGATTTTCCTCGTATCATTCGTTTTCCGGTAGTATTTTCCTAAATATTTCAATGTAGAGATTTAAAAAGTGTAAGGAAATCAATATGGGAATATCTTACAGTCACATGAGGAAAAAAAAAACTCATCTCCCTAAATTTAAAATGTTTACATGTTTTAACTACTATAACTAAACTACAAATTTTCTTGATGAAGTCAGCTGGACATGGGTATTATCACATGCAGAAAATTGCAATAGTGTGTGATTAGGAAGCTCATTAAACCAGATCTACCACAAATGGCCTTCTCCAAACTGGGGCCTATTGGCATATGCACAAAAGCTTGCATATTCAATAGTAGGCAGATGTGACGAGAGGAAACAGAGCGAGAGGGTAGGAATGTGAAAAGGATATTAATACTATATGCACAATGGGGACTACAGAACGACTGATTCCAAAATTTTAGAGACACAAGGTAAAATACTAATTGGTCAGTAGTTCCCAACATCATTTCTCCGGTTATTCTTAAATAAAGTTTTCACTTTTGCCAATTTAAGTTCATTGGGGAAATGTTGAAATAGTAATGGACAGATTAATTATGTGTGTAATTTGGACCTTAAGATAGAAAGACCCATCCTTTAAAAATTTAGCTGGGATGTAGCCAAGTCCTGTACTCTTACATGAATTTAGATTGTCAAGTAATTTACGAACACTTTCTCCGGAGATGGCATCAATGAAAAAGCTATTGGAAATAACACCTTCATTTCTATAGAATTTACTAAACTTTTCTGAGTTCGGTGTGAAAACCCGTATACTTTTTGGTAGCAATTTAACAAGTTTAGAGGCAACGGTAGTGAAATATCTATTCATTATATTTAAGACTTAAGAAGGATCATAATAAAGGTTACCATCAGCTTAGAGAACAAACTTAGCTTCAGATTTATTTGTCTCACAGACCAATATTTTTTTAAGTCACATGTTTTTGTCAAATAAAATTTATAGTTTGGACAGGCCTCTAGTTTTATAAATTCACATTTACTAATAATTGCTTAACTTTAGTAAATGCACAGCAGTTTAACTGTATGTTGTTATTATTGTGGTTATATATGGTGATGTCATAGTTAATGGTAGAGTTACATTCCGCAAACATATTTTCATATAATCTCACCTTAACTGAATTTGTATTTGCATTACTAAATAATCGTGAACTTCTTCGTAGACCATGTGTCTGAAACAGCACCTGTGGCCCACTGGAAAGAACAAACAAGAAAAACACATAGTAAGATGCGGTGACAATAAATAAACAGTTTATTTGTTGGGATAGTCTGGATATCAGTCTACTGTAGGATACTATATCATTATTATAGAAAGACTGTATTTATTTGAATTAAACTTCCCACTCTCCCCGAATAAATTCCCCCACTAGAGCTTTATTTGGAATAAACGCCTCCCTCGAATAAGCGTTTACTTGAATGAATACGGTAATTAATTAATTTTGACTACTTTTTTCTAAAAAGAAATATCAGTATTGCTTCTAAAGCTTATTTAAGTTCTATGTGACAAATACCTGTGATTTGCCTATATACGGTGTGATTATGACGTCACCATATGCCCATATATGGAAAAAATCACACTACTGCTACAGTGTGTGAACAGAGCTTTAGGATTCAAAGGTGGCACAGCCAAATGGTTTACCTTGTCTGTGGACTTGGAGTTTGCATAGTTGAACTATCCTTCGTGTTACCAGACATACTGAAAACAGGTGGTTTAATATGTGGTTTTCTTGACATAACCTTTAGGAAGAAAATAAAACAAGCTCATGAGATTAATTAATTATTAATTATATAATTAATTTTTTATTTATCATACATTTACTATATTTTGAGAGAATATAATCTGTTGATTTTTTATGTTCATTGTTAGAAAAAAGATAAGCTAAGTGATTATAGGGTAAATTCCATATGCTGATTACTGAAAGATAATCACCAACGAAAAGACGACCGCAAATAGACGTCTACTTAACTACTACCAGATAACCTTGATATGTTTCTAATTTGTTGCACAACCATATCAATGTTTTTTATTTGAATAAAGCCCTGATCATACTATCAAATTTACTGTGACAAATTTGCGTGATGTGTCAATACAGTATATATATACAGACACGATGATGTCATATTACACCCAAATATGGGTTTATCACAGTTATTTATCACTTAAAATTTGACAAAGTTTTAGAGAATGCACCGATGTCAAATGCTCTTACAGTAATAGTAAATAGAAGAGGCCCTTCATGGACAGCACAATAATAACAAAAAATGGAATTCAATGCAAATTGTTTTATGGGTTGATAGGAAGATTTTACAGTATGAAATTGTTCATTTGTTCATTCATTCTCTCTAACAGGAAAATTATATTCACAGTGGACATAACAATAGACAGAAGCAGAACAGTGAAATCAAAGTAAAAAATAATTACTGTTTAGATGGTGGATACTTCTTTGTTACAATTATTTACAATTGTCTAGTGTAAAAACGGGATATAAATTTAGGGCAAAATTATATTAAAGAATGAATTCAAAAAATGAGAGGTAAAGTAGGGAGCTGGTAAGGTGATTAAATTTTTAAGGGGGTCTCAAAGTGAAAGGTGACCTTAAATTAACCCTGAAATCAAATCCCCACGTAGTGATAGTAATATCCTCTTCAATAAATAGGGTACTATTAGAGCATATAATGCCACTGTTGCGCTAAAACCTGAACAAAACATCTGTGTGCTTCAATTTACCCGAGTCACTGTTCCACATTACTGGCCAATGTTCTTATTTCCCATTTTTATGATTTTTATGATAATCTTAACATACAGAACAGGATGTCATAACATCTCTATTTCTTGGTATTCAATTTATTGTACAAAAATGTCCAAGGCATGTTGTCAATTCTATTATAAGGAGTCATACTGAATGAAACCCTATCTCATCACATCACATACTGTACTACAGTGTAACTTGGATATTGTTTTGTGTACACTAAAACATAAATACTACAGTTAAACACATTTGCTACTGTAGCCCTGGGCATACTTGCCCTGTCTAGCATGAGTAAAGCCCCTTTAGAGATGCAGACTGATGTGTACTGTACTGTATGCCTAGCTCAGTGGTTGTACCACACATTGGTTATACTGTATACAGTACTGTACCATAAGCCAATAAATTTACAGGATAGATAAGATGGACGTGAAGTCTCAGGAGTCAATGACATATACAGAACTAAACTAATTACATCGGAACAACGAAGGTTAATTCTTAAAATTCTGTCTAATTACTAAAAGTTCTGGAATAACAAAATTTTAAAAATAAATATATAGATTTTAGAAATAAATTTTTATGACTTAAAACTCATTCTATTTAACAAATTGCCAAATAAAACATAGTTTCTGTTACGTTGAATAATTGCTGGTACAGTATAGATAATGGCTCTACTTTAACTGAATTTTGCAGGGTCACAATGTAGGGTACTGAACAGAGGATTCACACATAATAACTGCCTATAAGTTTGTACACAATCAAGACCAATTGTCAACTGCCATGGCCAACTGTCAAGCATCATGCCCATCTGTCAATTGTCATAGCATTGTGACACTTCATACAGTACCTGGGGAGAACACATAATAATTGGCCTACAGTCACCCTAACACTATTACAATAAAATTTAATATTGAACAGTGGACAAGCAGATACAACAAGATAGTGGTTAAAATGTACTATATTCGGTGAAGCTTGTTTAAATGCAGTTTTAAAAATATTAATTGCCTTTTTGCTCTTTTTCTTTTTCAATTCAATTACTTACATCATCACTATTCTATGTACTATACTTAATCTTTTATTTAAGTGACTTTTAATCCTAGATAAGACAGCACACTAAAAATGTATAACCTAAAAAAAAATATTTTCAACCTATGCTGCAACACAACAGTCTAAACACATTGACAGAGAGTAGGCACCACCAAATAATACTGAAGACTACTAAGGTGAGAATTTTTTTATCCTTGTTTCGCATACTTATTTTTTCATAAAGATCATTGAAGGAGGGCGGAATAAAAATAAAAATAAAATTTTGTTTTCTTATTTAGCAAATAGTTTTGCCAAAAACATCCAAATGGAGGAGAAAATAAAAATAAAATGTTATTGGTGAATGTAAAATGGGATGGTTAAATACTAATTTATATAATTAGGAAGAAATATACATATCTTATCTTTGGAGATTTCAAGGCAGCGGAGGGCGTAATAAAAAAATTTTTTTTTTTCGTTTTTTCTGAAATTTCCATTTTTCATGGCGGCGGGTGCGCTAATTGGCCAAAAGAAGGTATAAAAAAGTCTCGCCTAAAGTATTAAAACACAAGATAAAACACCTGATCGATTTAACAGAAAAACATGATAAAATGTTAAACATCAGACCGTCTATGTAAAAACCTAGCATTTGTGTTTGGCTAGATTCCAAGTGAGATCCGCTAAAGCCTATTGACATGCTAGGCAGGAAGCACAGGATATCAAACGAACCTGTGGGGACATTATTATGTATGGGCCCCCTGTTATATCATGCTCTCCCCCTGCTTTCATTATCCCCTGTTGCCTGTAAATGGCCTCAGGCTGTTGTTTCTGTTAAAATTGTAATAATCCTCCCATTTAGATAAAGAAATTAGCTTGTGTATTACGGTATTAAGCTAATCTGGCAACTTTTCCAATAAAAGATATTATAGTACAACAAAATACATTCCGACCTTCCTGGTTTGGTAGATTATTATTACAACATGTGGGGCAGGCATGACTTCACTGTTTTCTACAAGAAATGGATGGGTAAAAAATATCAGAAAAAAAAAACAAACAAACAAAACATGACTTACTTTCTTTGCTGGTGCTTTGAGATCTGCAGACTGAAGATCAAGGGGTGATGGGGTAATGTAGTTACCAGAACTATTTTCATAGGTTGGGGTGTCAAGTGGTAGAAAGCCAAAACTGAAGAAAATTTAGATAAACAAGAATCATTATCAACTTCATAACAACATGGAAAGAAATTTGACACCATTACAATTACAACCACTAAATATATTTAAGAAGAGTATTTAACTAACAATCTATCCTGATTTCATATATAATATATTTATTTTGTTGCTTAATTGTTTTACTGTTGAATCTGGACCACTTGAGAGATCAATACTTATGTTTTGAAAGAGTATTTCCAGAATAAAGAAAGATTTGAATTGAAAAATGTATAAAAACACCTTGCACTGATAAGATATACCTGAGATTTAAAAACGAGAACATGAATGTCTTAAGTTAAAATTTATGGTAAACATAGAGGTATTTGATCAACTTTTCTATAAGTTATAAAATAAAAAACAAATTATTAAACTAATACATGGTAGATTTTTGCTTGCAATACTAAGGGTACTTTCTTTCCCAGAACCCATGAAGTTACCAGCTAACTTTATCAACACTATTATAAAATCGAAAAATAATATTATTTAAATATCAAATTAGAATTTTAAAATAACATACCTTGGGGTTAGCGGACTATTTGTTTGTTGCTGTTGCCCTAGCAATCCCCGGTTGACTCTTGGTCGTGTCCTAGATAACTTTGTGGTCATGGGTGCCGATGGTAAGGCAAATGATCCCATGGAAGCATCTGGTGTCTGGTGGGTATCGATGGGGATGTCTGGAGTAACCATTTCTGAGAGGGGTTTTATCCCAGATAATGGTATACTTGTGTAACCAGGTGTAGAATCCTAACAAAAAATAAAGATTTTATAATGTAAACAGTTTAGTAATCCGAGTGATAGACATTATATTAAACAAGATTTTTTTTTTCTAAACATTGAGTGTAATGTAAAAAATTAAGTGGTGCTTGCAGTAAAAGACATAATATTATAATAAAATGTTTAATTAAAATCATCATTATTAACAAACAACAGTAGCGAAGCAAGGAACAAAATATTCTCATCTAATAGAGAATATCCTGCAAAAAAATTATGTAGAACTTATTGAAAATAAATAAAATCTACAAATATTTAGATCTGCAGTTAAAGCAAATTTATACAGCTAATAAACTTATGTTATGAATAATAAAACTTAAAATTTAAGATCAATAACCACTACCGTACTCGCGCGAATAAGTCCCCAGACTCTTAAAATATTTGTTGCCCTTTTTGATGGGCGCTTATTCAAACGGGGCACTTTTGAAACAGAGTGGAAATTGAGGGGGCGCTTATGGAAATATATGAAAACGGGGCTCTTAAGACAATTTCCACGTTAGGAGGGGCGCTTATTCGAGGGGGGCGCTTATTCAATAGGGGCACTTATTCACATGAGTACAGTAATTTATTTTCACAATTATAAAAAAAAAATACACTACATAATATAAATACAATCATGTCTACATTCACACTAGACATTCATATTAATAGACATCCCAAATATAATAAAATACTGCAAAGATGACTAACATAAATTTCAGTGAACTGCATTGATACTGTATACATTTTATGAAATTAAATTTCCAACATATCTTATGAAACACACATCAAATGAAGGTTAAGTCATGTGCATAATACTGTATACTCACTTGTGGCGTATCAATAACCATGGAAACCACATCCGAAGTCAGATTTTGTTGTGAGACTGACAAATTCTCGGTGTCTATAATTGGACAGCTGTTTTGGTGATTGCTCGATAGATTAGGCATGCTGGAAACCTGGAATATCTTGTCTGCATCAGGTTTGTTACCTAAGATAAGAATGAAATCGAGGTCAAGATTAATAACTACTTGTGAGAACATGAAAAAAATGAAGGCCATAATTATAAAGGTAATTATTTTAAAAATTAATCTCTTATTCATGAATTGGAGGGCGTTCCTCGTGTATGACCACACCTTCTAAGAATAACTATTTATGTCTTTTTTGCTATTAGATGTCTACACAGACTAAATATGAAGCTTTTGAATGAGAATGTAGAACAGGAACATAAAACGGATTCACTTATCTGTGACTGTCGTCGCATGCGTTTTACGTACTACTTTAAATAAATTTCAATTTAATGGCCAAATATATAATACAGTACATCGTCATTCTGGCCATATATTTGGCCGACAAACGTTTCAGATTTCAGGAGAGAACACAACGCACAAAATTTAGAAATGCACAACTAAATTAACAGTATGTTCTACACCATTGCAAATTGAATGCTCCCTAATACCACGATAAAAAGCTATACAGAAAGGAGATCATAAGAAAATTTTACCTAAAATGAAAACCATGATGAATGCACAGTATGTAAGAGATTTTGCAAATTGTTATGTCATAAATAAAAGGTACAAAACTGAGGCCATGAGGAAAAGACGCAAACTACTGTACCGTACAAGACCAAACAATATGACTAATTTAATTCACCCTATATTTTATTAATTCATTGAAAACTTTAAGCTAAAATTAGGGAAGAATCCGTTAACACCCTGCCCGCCAAACACATAGATCTCTGTGTTTGGTAGCGCAACGCATGACCGCCAAGCACGGAATCTCCATGTTTCCGTTTTTTTTACGGAATCCGATAGATGGCGTAATTACTGACATGTACTAACAATTTGAACATATATTCAGTCTGGACTGTAAGTATCTTGTTATTTCAATGTGACCTATTCTCAGTAACCTCATATTGTATGGCGATACTGAAACGTGATTATCTCAGCTTAATTGTGTAAATATGCGTAAAACAACAAAAGTGAGTCACTTTCATTTTGCTGTTATGGGTCACAGATTGTGATTAGAAAAGTGTGTGGTACCATTGTAAAGCTCAGATGTTTGTAGTTCTTGTAGTATTTATTACATGTCGATCTGATTACATAACACTCTCAGTGAGCTTTGGAAATGTATTCAAATTCGCTAAAAAGTCTGGCGGGAGCTGATGCTATTTTTTCAAAACCCTAGCAGTGAGAATGTTAAGGATAATTTACAGTAAAAATTGTCAACTCACCTAGATGGCACAAGGCCTCGAATGATGACCATAAACAAGGATTTAGCTTGAGAGACTGCCTATAGCACTCACTTGCCTTTGGCTGTCGCTCAGATTTACTGCAATGTTAAAAATAAAAAAACAGATTTAATTTATAAATATCCAAAGTGATTCAAGAAACATGAGGTTGAACTAAAAATATTGTGATAATAAAAGAATCAACAGCGCCAAAGTGCTATACTCAATAGAGAGGTTATAGAATACTAGAATAACTAGTAATAACATAAAACTACGCAAGCTTGTATTCTATATCTGGACTACAGTATATTATATGAATCCTCTTCCGAATTCCCCCTCTTCCCTGTACTGTGCAATGCATTGTAAGGCCTGAGCATCACAAAACATGTTATAATTTAATCATAAAAATAGATAGGTATAGGTAAGACAATTTTGGAAAATACAGACTGATTTTTTTTTCTTGGGTAAGTCCATTGCATTCATTTATTTTTTGTGTGGTGTGATGCCTTGAGAATAATCAATAACTTACAGGAATGTGCTGATTGGTCAGAATAAATTCTTAATTTCATGTTCTTGCAGTATAATAACAAAATCGAGTCTATTATTATTGTAGTCACATTGTGTTGGCCACGTTTTGAGAAAATAAAAAAAATGCGTAGGTCGGTAGAAAAAGTTTTTATTTTAAAAATTTTTCTAAACCAACAACGTGTTTATACCTAAAAAATAAAAAATACACGAAAATACAAAAAAATACCATTTTAAAAACAATCGCATAACACTTTTGCATCGCCTACCATCTCAACATAGGCCACTCAGCCATTTTACAGTGGCTTATTAAAAATATATTGTTTGTTATAGTCAAAAAGAAAAAAAAAATTAAAATGCAGCCCCTCAATTTCGAATCATTTTTTATATTTGGCCTAATGCTCCCTCTTGTTACCACTTCCAGTGCTAAAAATAGCATTAAGGTAAGTTTCTACTGTCTGTAGCCAAATTGGCTTCACTTTTTGGTCTCAATCCAAGCGTCCAATTGTGACCGCAATACCATGACCACAAAAGGCTGTCAATAATTAAGTTATAATCTTTGACCTACAAGTAGGAGTGAATGAACTGCACTGTAAAATAAAGTCAAATTATTTTTAAAAACTATTTAATGTTAAATACAGTAAAACAAGCAGTAGATCATTCATTTCTTTTTTAAGCAATATACTTCTGTGCTATTTTAAGGACTGTTTGAAGAAATATTTAAAATATCTTACTTTTATTTTATTAAATTATGCATAGCTTTCAAACGAAAATAAAAATATGAACATGTTTTTCTTGTAATTTTGGTTGGAACAGTGTAATTCACAATTTAAATTACACCATTTCTATATTCTCTTTGTAACTGCAAGCACTTAAATTTTCTGGTAATCTATTTTAATTATTTTCTTAAACATCTGTAAATTAGCATAAAATTGAATTTTTATTTTTCTAAAAAGTTCAAAACATATTTATCTACACATTGAAAAATCCAGTGTGAATAATGTTGAAGATTTTAAACAGAGTTTACAATTTTCAAAGAAATGCTTTGTTTTCTGACATAAATAATTTTTTATTCTATAAAAAAATAGGAAATATTATGACCTATAAAATATTTCCTCTCTATACCCACCAAAGGAACTAACAAGAGACTATAAAATTATGAAACTAAATACAAAATGTCTAGAGATTTTCTATTTGCTATCGCAAATTAAAATACATCTCCCTACCAACTGGACTAGATTTTCACAATGGTAAACTGGGAATACTACCAACCTAAGGATTTTGCCGAGAAGTGAAAGAACGAAGCATGAAAGTTCTCCGTATTCTGATATAATCTCCTCTAGAGTGTGCTGTTTTGTTAGAACACTACCAGCTAAAATAGTTTCACCTTCTGAGTACCTAAAAAAACAAAATGGATGTTATGTATTAAAAACATATTCCAATCAAATTAATTTTGATTAATAATCAATCAAATCATAATTACAATTCAAAGATTCAAAATATATTCAAAATCACAATATACAGTAAATACAATACTGTATGGAACTGTAGAGCAGTTGCTCCAGAGTTCATACAGTACCTCTTTCCAGTGCTTTGAATACAGTACCAACAATATGCAGGCCGTGTATAATAGGCGAAACTGCAGCATACCCTCAATGAAATAATGAAATCGCGAATCGTATTCAGGCACATTGTTTTTTTGAGTGCTGCCTAAATACGTGAGGGGTAAGGGTAAAAAATTGAATTTCTGTGACCCTGACCTTTGACCTTTTCTTCAAAAAATTGCATAGTGTCTATTTACTTTATTAGTATTTACTAAATTAATATGACACTTACAAGTACAGTATGTTGAACTCATAAAGTGATCCAGAGAATATTTTAATCTCCTTTTATGGACAAATAAATCTTAAAGCTTGAGTCAAGAAAAACCCAGAACTACCACAAAAAGTAAAATCTGCTCAGAAAGAGGATTAGGAACAGCCAACTGGACAGAGTGTAACAATAAAAAGCTGTTTCACTGATAAAAACAGTACCAATGAATACTGGTTTTGTTCTTACTTTTTGAGTTGCAAACAACATCTTGCTAGTAGGTACTTGCACTGTGGTGTTCGACATCCTTTGTCAGTGAGGAGGGCATATGCCCGGTTGGGTTTACCGGATCGAAAGTAGCAGGTTGCAAGGAGAAAAAGGGTCTCTTCTGATGCCACTGAAATAGTGATGTTATAATTATTGCTATCATGTTGTATCCGAATAATGCTTGACTTGCTAAATTGTTACTTTAAATGCTTTTTAAAGACAGTGCAGTGATAATTCCTACTAAACTAATTAAAAGATGATTATGATATGATAATAAAAAAAAGAAAATTCTTCCTATTTTTTCCAATAAATATTTGTCACAAAATTAATATAATGATAATAATCATTAAAATACTGTACACAGGTAAATAAAGTACATCTGAAATAAATTATAAGATACCTTCTGCATGTAGACGTTCTGCAAGGAATATTGCGTCCTGGTAGGCGTAGTAAGTCAGGCAATGCCATATTGTTGCCTGTAAGACGAAGTGTAGTAAATAAATATAAGATAAAAAATGATAAAATGCAAATTCTATTTCCAATGCTATTTTCCAAACTGAAGTAATTAAATAACACTTTTTCATTCATTGACTGTTGAGAAGAGTTTACCCAGCTACTTTGGGGTTGAACCTTAAGGAAGATGAATTTCAAAACCTGCGCTAATGATTTTTGAGTGCCAGCGATCTGAAGGTGTATGTTTGAATACATATTATGTTTTTTTAATGAATGAAAGGCAAGTTCATACACTGCACTGGATAATTTGTTTAGGCAGTGGTTACTATTCCAAGGTTGTTTTTCTGGAAAACGATGAGAAAGGTTTAATGGAAAGATTGAAATTTTGTATGATGTGCTACACACATCAGCCTTCAAAACAGAAATTTTATATTATAAACTTTAAGGTGATGGTTACAGGGAAGTGATTTTACTGGGGGTCACATCATAAAAGCATGAGCAGTGTACACATACTATACAGTAGTGTATCATCGTTCAGCAGTGTTTGAAAATGTTTTCCAGAAAAAGAATTTTAGTGAATACAGTAATATATCCATCACATAAAAAATACGAAGTGTCTATGCTTACGCCGAGTCGTAAGCATTAATCATAGGCTATGCTTACGCTAAATTTAGTGATGATAATAATTATAGTAATAGGTTTAATAATAATTAAATAATAATAATAATGATAATGATAACAATAATAATATATGTATCTCTACAATTTAGACGCACTTATCTATTGCCGATAAACCCAGGACCATAATAAATCAATTGATTACAGGTCCCATGACTATTCCTCAGATTAAGATGTGTATAAGAGACAGCCCCTGCGCATGCTCAATAGATCAGCGTAAGCATAGCCTATGACTAATGCTTACGACTCGGCGTAAGCATAGACACTTCCTAAAAAATAACTACTACAAATTATTTGCAAGAACACATTGTGTTAGAGGAGCCCTCAGATATTAAGCTAGGTTTCCATACAATCGATACACGCTATCTCCAACAGCTTTCGGTGATGCTGATACAGTACAGTAGGTCAGTCGAATCGAGGAGCTTTCCTGATCGCATCTGGGAAAGTGTACTGTACATTATTTATTAATACCCCCCCCCCCCCCCCCCCCCCCCCCCCAACCAAATACCTGTAGCTTGTTCGCCAGATACCCAACTGGATTTGTTTGAAGTAAAACAAATTACACTGAAAACTGAAGTGGTTAAATTTCAACTTTATCATGAAGTCCCACCCCCACCAATTTGAAGACTACTAGGCCTAGATATGCCTATGCCTATTTCTGACAGGAATTTATTATTTTTTTTAATCGTATTTGTAAAAATACTTGCTTGAATGCAAATTGAATGTTTTAATTTAAATTCTAACTGAAAATGGTTACCTTGTTTTGTAGCTGTTCCATTGCCTTAGGCCAAACTTTCCTTTTCGCTTGTTTGTATCTCATTACAATTTACAGAAGTGTACAATTTACAAACAAGTGACAAACAAAACAATATTTGGATGCCTCCACCCAACGTTAACAGTTATCCTCTTAGGCCTACACGTAATACAGTACAGCATTATGAAGTTACCAGTTCGATTCAACAATCCCCAACCAACCCACTTGAATCTAGTCCGATTGCCCAAGCTGTTTTAGGCGCTTTACCGTTTGGGCAGCTCCTTGGTTTAGGCATGGAGGACATATATTAATATATTTCCTCCATGGTTTAGGCTTGTGTAGGCCTAGGTCCGATCGTCGTAGACGACGCTAGCCCACCTACCTAGGCACCAGAGCTTTGTTTTGAATGAATCGTCTGCTCCAACGAACGGCCTGGCATGAATTACCTTAATATTTTACAAATTTAATTATGTTAACCTACCTGAACAGGTTCTTGAACAACCATATCTTTTATATATTATCCTTACAACGATTTAACATTCAAATATCCAAACAAATAAACTATGTAAACGTATGTATATCATTTAGATAACTTTATGATAATTTCGCCATTTTGAATGAAATTTACATTAACGTTGACCTCAGCATTGACCTTAACAGCGCCCTCATAACACTCCCTTATGTGATGTTTGTTATTTTTTTCAACTTTTTCAACAACGAATCACACATTGAAATGTATTGTCTGTCATGGGCTAAAAAAAGTTAATTCCATATTTGAGGTCGTTAATTTATTTTTAAATAGTTAGATAACACATTTGCTCTATTCTTTTACACAGACCCTTAATCAATTGGTTTCCCTCATAAAATTGAATTTTAGGTATTTCGAGTCGATTTTTTGGCAATTTAATCGTAATAGGAGATTTGGAATCAAGAATATAAAATACTATGCTTTGCAATAATTTAAAAAAAAAGCTACAAAAATATTAAAATCTTTTTTTTTCTTTTTTTTTATCAAACTGGTTTTTTTTTTTCAACGACGAATTGGATATTGTATCGATCAGCTATTCTAAATTATTACTAAAATTAAGACAAAAAATATCTTTGTTTGTTTCACGAATTATTAGAACTCACAATAAGTATTCTGAATCTTGACAATCCTCTGAGTTTTTGTCACGTTAATTGATAATCCAGGAAGCCTAGACCGTTAGGCCTACTGTTAACGTCTTCCTGAAAATAATAAATCGCAGCAACATCAGAAAACTAGGCCTGCCGTACATATTTAAATTTTTAAATATTTTCTTATGACTATGATGTGTATTACTTTAACAAGAGATAATAGACCTATTTCAGACATGAACCATTAACCTCTGGAAACCTTAAAATATAGATTTCAAATCCAATTATACTTTAGACTACTAAAAAAAAACATTTTTATAGACAAGAAAAAAAAGCTCATACAATTTCCCTCAATCTCAATACTATGACAAAATTAAAAAGTGTTGTATATGCATATATTATTAACTTACTGTCGTCTGCATTTTAAAAGTTGACAGAATTGCGGCACGGCAGTCTCAAGTGCGCATGTGCAGGATACTTACACAACCAATAATATTTCTGGTTTATTTTTTTGCTGTCTGAAGCTTTTCATTTGGAACTTTGTTTTCGCCAGTTAAATAACTTTGTGACATCGCAGTAACTTTCGGACAGAGTTTTAGATTCTTAATAATTTTCTATTTTAACTGGAAAGTTTATAACTTAAGTTCTAAGCATTGGTCAAAATATATATTTTAAAAATAAGGCGAGGACCTTCTCAGCTCTGAACTGACTGAAGCCAGAACGTAAGTATTTTATAATTTCAAAATTTTGATTGCATTTGGGACGTAAATTGAAACACTTCAGGAAAGCCAGTTATCATATCATATCATTGCCAAGGAAATTAAACTAAATCTTAACCAAGGTGTTAACAGCTGTTTTACTTAGCCTATGTATATCGTATAGAAGAAACCTAAACACCATATTGTTTGGAATCCAACTGATAATGTGTAGAAGGGTTGTTCATCGTAAAGTTCCGAAGTTTAGATTTTGGAGTTTATGAACAGATGAATGTATACAGACATTTTCCACTATCATTAAACTTTGGCGGGAGAACAGTTTAAATTCATTAAAAACTATTTGCAAGCATATATATATATATATATATATATA